GGGATGGACTCTCAATCTGTCACAGGGTGTTGGGAGGAGTGGGAAGCTGCTGGAAAGGCAAGGGAACCAAGCTGCTATGGTTTCAGTGCTCTGGGGCACGCTCTGCAGCAAACACAGCTTTTCAGCTGGCTTTGACACTGGCTGATGAACTTTGTTTACATTAATAAAGTCATCTGGAGGGCTCTGTATTTGGGTATTTTGGCTTGAATTTACACCAGGCTGGTGGTGAAAGTTATTCCCCTTTGACAGCTGTCATCTGGTTTGGGAGAAATGAATTCAGGGGTCTCAGCTTCCTCCTAGAGAACAGATATCCACAACACCCTAATGGCAGTCTCAGAAGAGAGGCTGAGATAGGGTGACCATTCGTCCGGTTTTATAAAGGACAGACTGGTTTTCTGCTACTCTGACATAAAGGTGTCTGGTTTTGTATCAATAGGACAGAGGACAGACTGGTGGAAGTTTGTGGAGGAAAATAGAGGACATAAAGGCATCCAGTTTTGTATCAGCAGGACAGAGGACAGAGTACAGAGTAGAAGAAAACTGGGCTGTCCTCTATAAAACTGGATGAATGTCTACCCTAGGCTGAGATCTGAGTGGGGGGCATGGACCATGAACTCCCAGTCATCCCTCCAGGAAATCTTTCTAAGTCCCAGTTTCCCCCCAGCTTGCCTTCCCCAAAGATGGAGCTGAGTGATGATGAGGGACAGTGGGATGGATCTTGCTCTTCCTGTGTTCAACCTGTTGATGAACTGAAGAAGTCAGGCTCTGAGTCTGGTGATTGGTGCCTCTCCTCAGCACCAAACTCACATGAACACTGCAAATGGGAGACACTCAGACTCCTCTTATTCAGTGTATGAGACCTCAGAAATGCTCACTGCCCTAAGCTCCACTACATGGTCTTTATTATTGGGGGTCGGCTTGCTGAAGAGCTGCCCAGTGTGGTAGTTTGGCTTTGTGCTGCTACCTGGAAACAAAATCCTTGCCTGACAATGTTCCTTCTGGACCTCCTGGCAGTGGTAAGACTCGCCAGTTGCAGTGCAGTTAAGCTGTCATCTTTAAAGGCAACTGTTCCCAAATCTATACAAAGCAAGCAGAGGCTTCTCTGCCAGGAAAATCTTGACTGGTGTCGAATGGGACATGTGGGGCCCAGATTCTGGAAAGCACGGTTGTAGAGTGGAAGGAGCTTCAAGAGCAGAGTGAGCTGCATACTAAATTCCCATCCAAAGCCTAAGGCACAGCACCAAACCCCCACCTTGTTCATGTCAGGAGTGCTTTATTTACAGACTGGAAATCTCTGGTCAGCCTCTGCTGTGTGGGCAGAGGGTGGTACTACATACTGTACCGTCAAATTCTATGGCACCATCTGAAGATGGTCTTGCCTTCATCTCACTAGCTGAATGTATCAGCTTTTATGAACTGAGCTGAAATGCTGATCCTGTATCCTGAACTTGGCTCCCTCTCTTGTGTTCCCTGAAGTACTCTTCAATCGCAGTTTATTCTCTTTCTTACACTACATCAACCACCCAATTTCTGTAAGTTTGACCTTATTCCAGGACTTCTGCTGCCCAGAGCTCTCTATAAAGAAAGGGAGATCTCAGCTCAGGCATTAGTCACTTCCTGGTCTGATCACTGGGAGAGCATCAAGTAGCCTGGCAGTGTAGACACAGTCTTGTTGATGAGTTTTCATCCCCCACAACTCCGTCATTAGCACATCATGCCCTCTCCGTGGGTGACTCCTCCGTATGCCAAGGGGTTAGATTCAAGATGCTGTTATTAATATTTAAAACACTGCCTGCCTCTTCTGTCACACTCTTGAGACATGGTTGGCATTAATGTCCCTTCTAATAAATGCACAGACACTTTCTCCTTTGCCTGGTGCTACATCACTCAGGGGCTCCAGCATCAGTGGTTTGGTGGAGCTCCATTCCCTGAGGTGATGCTCTCAGCTTAAAGCCAGTGTAGTGCAGGGAGGACGTGGAGAGACATTACTGGTGGTGCACTGCATCAAGAGCGCGAGCATCTTTTTTCTGATAGCATCTAGGATGCTCAGATTGGCTTTGCTTGTGTTATGCAGCACCTCAGGGAGCAGAAAATTAATGGGGAGACTTTTGGTCAAGGGAAAGGGAAAGGGCCTTAGGAGTCACATTTAGGACTCCCATGGATTTCTTTTCATTGGCAGCCTAGAGGAAGGTGAAATTAATCTTCAGATTCACCAACAACGATGAGACCAGCTGTAGCAAACAAATGGGAGGGGAGAGGATGACAGAAAAGGCAATAAAGATGGAAAGACCTGAGCTGTGAGCTGCCAGGGGTTCCAAAAGGGTAAAGTGAAGAAGTCATTGGCTTAGGCAGAGAAAGTATCTGCACAGACACAAAAAGAGACAAGGTCTTGATAGGCTCTCAGTAGATGTGTCTGGAGGATGCTGTGAGTACCTGCAGGGAGGCCCCAGGTTTAGAGGAATCAATACTAGTTTGGCAATGGGCTTATCAGCATCATGTTTTATTAATAACTGGCCATGGGAAAAAGAAGGAGGTTTCTAGCCAGCAGAATGCCTCCTAATAAAAAAGAAGGAGCTTGATCAGTTGATGAAAGGCATTATAGGACATGGTTGCCTAGAGTAGTAAGGAGTAGACTCCATGACACAGGAGGTCCCCTCCAGTCTGATATTTCTATGTGGCATTAAAGGCAGGGAGGAAATAATTTTCTTGCCTGTTTGCCCTGGCCCTTCCTGATCATACAACCCAGTTCCTTAATGCCATGTGGGGGAATGATTCTCAGAAAGCTACAGGCACAATTGGCACTGCCAGGCTAATTTGAGTCTGTCTGTGCACTCTACAATTCTGAGTACAAAACTCAGCATCCATGTGCAGAGAAAGGGTTTGCCATGTCACCATGTCAGTTCATGCTGTTGTGGTTCACTGTGCACACAGGTCATATGCACATGCATTTCTGCAGGCGTGCCATTGAGAGCCTGAAAATCCAATCCTTTTTGACCCTACCTCCTTGTCTGCATCATGACAGGCATTCCACTACCATCTCTTCTCACTGCCCTCTGTCCGCAAGTCTCTCACCTTTCCTTTTATACTACTTTGTGCATGACTTCAGTCCCCTACTCTGCCTATCAGCTTTTTTTTGCACTGTCAAGGCTGAACTTTGGCTGCAAACTCTTGGCAAAACCCTGAGAGTGAATTCAGGAGCACTTCTGTGTGTGACAGTTTCTCTCTGGAGTGCTGACAACCCAGTGTGGCACAGTGGAGTAGGGGTTCATGCTATGGTTCAGTATCACTGTGCCCATCTCTGCACTGAATGTGGTTATTTGGTATATCCTTGCTCCACATTCCAAGGTGTTAAATGAAAACAGTGCAAGTAGTGGACCCAGAACTGGACCCCCCTGCAGGGCCCCCTCAGTACAGCCACTCAGGGGCCCACTGAATATACCTAACATCTATGCTGATGAAGTGGGGGGATTCACTCTCCTTACGGTCTGACCCAATGCTATGTGTGGAAGACAGAAGTTTACTGTGTTTGACCATGGCCTAGGCTCATGTGTATCACCTAAATATAGAGCTTCCACTAATGATGTATCCTGAGGGCTTTTGCCCAGTGGGCAGTGCATACACATGAGGGTAGTGGTGGGTCCCCATAAACCTGACAATGTGTGTGCATCTACATGTGGTGATTTAAGGTGCATTAGCCATTTTTAAGGCACATTAAGGGAATGAATCTACACGCGTGCATCCTTAATGCACCATAAAAATGGTGATTTTAGGTTAATTGTGCCTAAATTTAATGCCTGCATAAAGCAGGCATCAAATTTAAGCATAATTAGTTAAGGAGACTTAACCCGCTTGTAAACACCTTAAGGCACCTTAACGCTATGTGACTGAGTGAGGCAGAGCTGAGCCTGCTGCCAGCAGGTGCTGCCAAAAAGAAGATGTGGTGGGTTCTGTTCTGCAAGGCACAGATGCTGGAGTGGGAGGTCTAGCAGCAGCTGTCCTGGTTGGTGTGTGGTAAGTTGGCAGTGAGGGCAGGAGGTGCGAGGGCTCCTGTCCAAGCCTAAGGGAAAGGCCCCCCCTTCAAGTCCCCTGCAGGGGAAGGGGGCAATGCAGCATGGGCAGGGCCTTTGCTAGCAGCTCCCCAACGCTTCTCCCTCAGGATGGATTTGCTGGCCAGGCAATGCAGCCCTGCAGCAGCGGGACTGCTCACTGCCCGCCCGGGATTCAGGAGCCCTGAGAAGTCCAAGCTGCGGCTCCCACCCAGAACAGCACGGGGGCTGGGACTGTGTCTACCCCCAGTGCCCGGCACGGCTTTTCCTGCTCCACCCAACTCCATCCTGGGCAAGTGCTTGGCCTCAATGCCAGATACTTTGGGTGGGAGAGGAGCTCATTTTGAACAGCCCCAGCACAGATTTCTAAGGGAGCCTTGCAGAACAGCATCCACCGCGTCTTCCTCTTGGTGGGTCCTGGCAGCAGCAGCATGTGCTTGGCTCTGGCCTGCTGTCCTCAGATGCTATGGGCTTGGAGAGGGGAGCTGTCCAAGGTGCTGATCAGGGTGGGGTGCCCAGCAAGGCCCATTAAGGCACCTTAAGGCGTCCATGTGTAGATGCATGCCTAAATCGCCTTCATGCGCCTTAGGCTAAGGTGCATTAAGTTTAGGCGTGTATAAATTCATGCGTATACACACCCTGTGTGTCTACAGCCTATAACCAATAGTATTGTTTGTCCGTGAACTATGGCAATGACGTATGCTGAAACAGATGTTTTACATCAACATGAAAATCTATGATATTTTAAAGTCCTCTGCTGATTCCTCAGAGGTGGGAATCCAAAATGGCAACCATGCCCTCCATATTCGCTGAGTGTTTTTCTGGGATATGCATGAAGGCTCAGCTTTGGGCTTTGTGAGCCCCTCCCCTTTGCCTCTGTGACCTGCCACCTAAACTTACAGGGGTGCGGGGAGCAGTGGATGTGGCCTTGGGGGATATCCAATGGGGGCCTACCTTGCCAATGACATCATTGCGGCTCAGCTTGTCCTTGTCCATGACAGTGATGACAATGGTTGTCTCTCGCAGCCTCTCAGTGGGGATGTCAAAGATGAAGGACTCATTGAAGACGGGGTTCAGGCACCGCTTCATTACCACAGTCTTCTTCTTTTCCACCCTTTTGTCCTTGTGCATCAGCCACACCTTCACGTAAGGGTCTGGGGTGGAGATGAAAGGGCACAATGCTATTAGGTCAGGGTAGTACTCCTAGTGCTATGGCCTCTAAGTAAAGCCGCTCCTCAGGTTTCCTGCCTATTGCCCTGCAGGGCCCTGAGTAGGGGAGGAAACCTTGCTCCTGACTTATGCCTTTTCCTGCCTGTGCAGAAGAAAGTGGACTCAGGGACAGCACCTATCCATGAGGGATATGCAAGGAGTTTGGGGAGATATTCATGGTAGGTCTGCACTGTAGTTGCAGACAGCTCAAGAGTCTCAACATTGAGGCAACAAGTCTCACTCACCCACTCGCCTACAAGCACTGAGGAGGGTATGGGAGCACCTTAAGCCACCATTCTTGAGTACTTGGAAATCTTGAGTACTTGAGTGTGATTCCAGAGGGCACTGGCCAGGGCATCCTTACTGCCTCATTTCTGGGTAGACAAGAGGCGAGCAGGAGCCGGTGTTACTTAGTTGGCTACAAGACTGAGCTGCCTGGCACCATGGGGTAGGCATATTCTCACTGCCCTGGTATGGCAGAGGGGGACTCCTGGGCTCCACTCCATGTGAACAAAAAGGGATTCAGGGATAAGCATTCCCTAGGGAAAGCAAAGGAAGACTCTCTCCCTGATGAGGGACAGAGAGATTCAGAGACAACTACCTCCCTGAAGAGAGGAAAGGTGCTGCTGGGAGGTACAATAGACCTGCCCCTCAGTGGCCTGAGTGAATGCCCCCTCCAACAAGTGAACCTCAGCTGTGCAGAGACAGAGAGCCTGGGATATAGTACCTGAGGTGCCTCCAATGTCCATGGCTTTAAGATTCCGTGCTTTGATGATATTCACGACAATGGAATTAGCAGAAGGGTTGTAACAAAGGGACAGGAGGAGTTCTCCTCGGCTTCCCTGCAGAGAAGAAAGGTTGTTATAAACTGATAGAGCTCAAAGAGAACAGCTCTCCAGGATACTCGATAGCTCTACTCAACACCAGTGCATGTGGGAGGCCTTATCCACAAAGAAACCACTTCCAAACATTGCTATGGCTGTAATGTGTTTTGCTTCCAAACTCTGACAGGTAAGAATCTGAGGATCTGTTGCTGATGGGAAGGATCTATGATATTTTCTCAACCAGTACCATTACTTGAAACAGATCCTTGTCTATATCAATCGAGGAAAGGATCCACAGCTGGCAAGAAGGGAATAGGAACAGGTTCACAGACCTCTGGCATAAGAGGCCAAAGGCTTGGGTCTGATCCCAGCCTACAGCAGTGGGCCTAGGATAATGCCCAACTCCCTTTTGGTGTTCCCTCTGAGGTCTTGCTCAGGAGCTCACGAACCTCCCTCAAAAGCACTAGTTGGAGGCTGTTGCTGTTATAAAGGCTGGCTCCTAGTCACATGGACTAAGCCTATGTGTTGCACTCCATTCCCTCAATACAAAGCAAAGGCCTTACACTCCCGTCACTGCAGGGTTTCAGATCCTTCCAGAATGTCTGCATCTGGGTCAGGTCTATTTTGTTGAGAGGAACAGACACTTCCCCAATGGGGTCGTTACGACTGAAGCGATCATAGTCCAGCACCTGGAGATACAGCACCCGCTGCACCACCTTTTCGTATGGAAAGCCTACCAGAGAAATCAAAGGGAGAGGTGAAGATCCTAGCAGTATAGGACAGGTCTATCAGAGAACATTCAGCCCCCCTAGATACAGACATGGCTGTAGATCCCAACAGAAACTATGCTAAGGAAACCGTTGCTGCCAAGTGTCTGTGCTGCCAGTGCCTATTCTGGTGTTCTGCAGTTCAAGCTATGTGAGCAGAGAAGGACGAGCTCCTGGGGAATTTTCGGGCTTCCAGTAGTACTATAGTTTCTTGCATACAACACCTAAAATAACCATAATCAACTTTCTTCTTTCAGGACCCCAGCCAACAGCTGGGGTCAGGAAGAAATCAGGCCTTTTACAAATACTGAGCAATTGAGTGGGTACATGGTGACAATCTGTGAGGGCAGGGGTGAGTTTTCTGTGAATCATCAGAAATTAACCATTGTCCAGAGGGACAGTGTGACCTACATGGCAGAGTCTCCACAACCAGTATAGATGTGTCTTATCTATGTTGTGCTGTCACGGGTAGCCAGATGGACTTCGGGATATCTGTTTTTATATTTTAAAGTGCGATAAAATAAAAGGTCAGGCTGTAGACCTGTTTCTGCCTCTTTTATCTGTAGCCAACCTTCAAGATTACCTGTAATCTGGGTAACACTGTGGGTTGACCACTCTGGAGTAGGAAGTGTTAACTTTTCTTTAAAGACTGTAAATGGACGTGTGCAGCAACTGAAATGCCCTGCCCATGTTCATAGAAGGACTCTAGCAGAGCTGGGAATTAAACCCAGGTCCCCTGAGTGCCAGCCCAGTGCCCTGGCTGCCAAACCTCCCACCTACCTTCAAAGAGGAAGGTCTCGTTCCAGTGTGGGTTCAGGTTCTTCCGCTTCACCTTGGTCTCTAGCTTGTGCTTTTTGTCAGGGAGCAGGTAGATCTTGACAAAAGGGTCACTCGTGCCACTGAAGTCCTTGGCCGGCAGCTCCTGAGCCTTTATGATCTTGACAGTGAGGGTGGATTCCTGGAAGTTGTAGCCGACACTGAACTGGATACGGCCCAGGTTCTCCCTGCTGGCACCTTCATGCCCTTCATCGTCCTCAGAGCCTGGGGAGAGCTGTCAGGGAGGGAGATCTGAGATTTCAGCATGGGCCCACCACCCTCTCTGGGGATGTATGAGTGAGGGATCTGGAGTGACCCAGAGATAAGAAATCCATCTGTCACACCACCTACCTATCGCTGAGGCATTGGTGAGGGTGCCTCTCTGGCAGGCAGGCAGCCCAGGGTTGGGGAAGAACCAGGGCTGAAGATAGTGGCTGTGAGTGTCATGCAGGAGCATGCTTGGTGAAGGTGCTGCAGTAACTGTTGCTGACTGTTGGGCTTGAACAGGAGACTGTCAGTACTAAAAGTATAAGCTGCTAGGGGCTGATTGAGGCTCTCCAGCTAGCAGCACTGGTACAACTACAGCTTCTGGTGAGGGACAGGCAGTGCACACTGCACAGCCACTTCCAGCTCTTGCAGGGGTGGGGTGGGCAGGATCTGCCTGCCGTGGGGTTGTGGGGAAGGCAGCCAGGCAGTGCGGCTGAAAGCTAACACAGACCCAACCACAAGCCCCTCTGCTGCCTGTTAGCTTGGTGTGAGGCTGACTTGCTATTAAGCACTTCCCCACCTCTCATTACCAGCCCCTGGTTCATCCTCCTTCTGGGCTCTCTGCCCTTCCTGGCCCCCTGTGTCAAACCCTTCTTCTTCAGCACAAACCCCTGAAAACTGGGGCTGGCTACTGAGTCTCACTCCCTCCCAAATCAGCATCTTTCTTTGTGTACCATTCTTGCCCCTTGGGATCATTTTCACTGTGGCAGTACCTCCAATCTCTTGTTCCATTGGTGGAGGTCTTGTGCTGACAGAAAGTGCCTCACCTAAACACACTTGTCTCATACTCAGGGGTATTGCTTCCTCTAAGACCTCAGCCCATCACCTGTCACTACCCTATCTCCCCTCTGCTACTCACAAACGGATGGTCAATCATCCTGTGCCCCTTCAGTTCTTTAAGGCACTGAATTTAGTGCTTCTGATTTCTTCCAGCTCTCTCCAGCTTTCATGCTTCTCTTTTTATTCTCCCTGACTACAGCTAATAATGAAGCAGCAATTAATAATGAATAACACAGTCGCACTGAAGCATTCCTATTGCCATGGGCAAAGAAATTATCACCCAGCTAGTCTTACATGTGATGGAGTACTTCTCTTTCTTTCTCTACGGCTATATTCCAAGGAATATATAGTTCTCTTCAGCCTAAGTTTGAAAATATACTTTAGCGATTGCTGGAAAAAACCCAAATAAAATAAAATAAAATAAAATATTTACCTTTAAATATTTTCCAAACAACTATCTGAAAGGTTGAAATTCAAAACTATTGGAAAAATACCCTTAAGTTTGATCCATCCCTTCACACCAGATCCTGGGCAATGAAAACCAGGTGTTCTGTTTTGAGGACTTGTGCAAGCAATGAACAGATAATGAACATCACATGTCCTGCATATGCCAGGCTTGCTTTGGATTATGGGTCCCTGTGTATAAGTAACTCTCCTCATGTCTTTGTCCTTGCTTTCCAATTGCTGCATGCATGTTAATTCCCCCTCTGGACATGGGAATAGGCAGAGCCAGGAGACCTCCTTTCTCCTCATCAGTGCAACTGAACTGGCGTGCACTGTTGTAATTTGCTTGGTCTTTGGTGAGTTACCACCCTGCAGAGCAAGGGGAGAAACTGTGACACAGAGTCACAGTCTGTGATTTATGATGGCCCTTGAGGGTACTCCAGAGTTGGCACAGCTCATATACCACCCCCTTTCCTCAGGGTTGATCTCACTGGTACAGTTAGCTCTGTAGCTCATGCAGAAGCCAAGTCAATGGATATGGCAACCACTTTTAGCCTCAACAGGAAAAGTTCTGCAGCCCTATTTTTGTAGTAAAACTGCTGGAGACTGTGTGATGACTGTTACAGGCATTAGGCCAGATGGCAGGTGAGAGCTAAGTTGTATGAGTCTCCTCGGTAAGAAATGCAGGGACTAGGATAACAGCTTCAGGTTATGCATACTGAGTTTTGATAAAGCTGGGAGAAACAGTAGTGAGTGGGGTCCTTGAGTGGAAGCAGAGACACAGAGCTTCTTGGACCCAGAGAGGGCTGGAGTGATGGACTGGGGGTTTCCGAGCATGGAAACTGCTGCTGTGGGTTGTTTCTACTGTGCTCAGGGAAAGAAAACTTTGGGTCCCTTTTTTGAAAACGAACAAGATTGCACTAAAAATATGCTGTCCGTGTCACCAATAACTCATCCTAATGAAACAACCCTGAAAGACCCCCAATTTTGGCTAACTGCTCAAGGCAAAGGGGCAACAATAGATTTAAAAGGGCTTACACCCCCAAAATTACCATTTTTAAAATTTTGTTTTTCCATGCTTTATCCCTTTTCTTTCACTTACTCCCTTCTTTTTGTCCTTTTTGCTTTTGCAAGAAAGAATCAATAAAATAAACAGTATCCAGATTTTTTAAAACTGTTTTCTGCTTAATCTTTTCCTGTTCCCTCTCTGTGACTTTTCAAAACTGCTTGCACTTTAGAAATGTTAAGTGAGTGGATTAATCAGAATTTATTTTTTTGTTTTACTGCCTCCTAGCTTGTCAAAGGTGGAAGAAGTTTAGTGAGTTGCAGAGTGGGAAAAGGAAATGATGAAAGAGTCCAAAATGTCAATTGCAAATATCATTTTGTTTTTGAAAAGCTGAAGAGTAATGGAAATTTACATTCAAAATGTAACAACATATGTTCATTTTGTTTGGAACAAGCTTATAAAAATTCTGTGAAAATGACATTTTCCTATGAAAAAAATCCACTTTAATGACATGTTATTAGGAGGAAAACATTTTGTTTGAAAATTCTGACCAGCTCTGCCTGGTGGGTTTCAGAAACCCTTTGCCTTGGTACCTCTCATATCAATTAGACAGCCTGTGCCAGGGCTGGTTCCACTGTGGACACCCTCTTCTGTGCTGACACTTCCTCATGCATAGCTCTTTCTTGAGCTGCAAGAGAGAGGCTTAAAATACTAATGTAAAGTTCCTCTAATACCCTTGCTGAAGCCAGCACATAATAGAGCAAAGCTGGAATTTCTAGCCCATGGTTTTTTACCTATTCCCATCCTAAAGAACTGAGCTGTCCTAACCACACCAGTAGGAGAGCCTGCTTAAGTATAGTCACTTCAATGTGCCTGTTCTGCAGAACTGTTGTAGTTCTCATATCCTCACTAGTACTGTTTTAGAGCATTCCAGCTGCACTGAGCTCTAAGAGCTCACACCAGTCCAGTCTTGTTCTGTTCAACAGAAGTTGAATGGTCAGTGGTGCCATGCAAGAGAGTCCCAAGGGGACTCTGAATTATTTGTATCTTCTGCCAGCAACCTCTATTCCTGCTACCATTTTCACAGCCCAGATTGGGACACTGTTTCAGCTGGCTCACCCTGCCAGGACTTGGCAGGAATGTGTCCTGTTTAGGGCCCTTCTGCACATGGACAGGAGGCATTTCATAGGCATGTCAGGGGCCTATACTGTGTTCTGAACACTGAAAGGCCTGAGGGGATACCATCAGCTCAAACATCCTCTCCAGAAGGTGAGAAATCCTTCCCCATTTCTAAACCTTCAGAAGTCCCAAATTCCTTGTCCAAACATCCCACAGATGTCTGTGGTGGTATCCCAGCCACAGCCTGAAACCAAGCAGGGAAATTTCCAGTCTGAGATGTTTGAGGAAGGATTCTTAATGGTACAGAACTCACAGCTGGAAGAGACCCACTAAGTCATCTCCTCTGTGCACCTTGGTGGAACAAGACGCTTTCCTTCATGACTTCTCATGGTGCTGGATTTTGAAGAAGCCAAGTGATGGAACATACACAAATTCTTCTGGGGCCTGACCAGCCTCAGCTGTACAATTACAGAAGCAAGATAGAAGTTATCAGTGGGAATGAGATAAGAAGTGTGTATAGGATGAACCACTTTGCCCTGCTTAGGCTTCTCCAACTTCTGTCCTGACTGAACCAGGCAACCTTTGTAGGTGATACTGACCTTGCCCTGCATTTGCACTTCATTAATAATAAGAGTTCCTTCTCTCCTCTCTATTTGCTGAAGCTTGAGTCACTTGGATGGCCCAGATGGCTTCTCCTCAGCTCTGTGGCCTGCAGGAAGGTTGCCTTTGGCTCCTCCTGAGGCGAGAGGGATGCATATCAAATGGAAAGTGGCCTACACCCAGCTCCCTCCTGGGCAGCGATGCTGCTCACTGTAGTCACCTCAGGGGAACAGATGCAGCCTGGAGAAAGCAGATCAACTGCTGGCCACCAGCAGAACTGGAGACCTGGACTGAGAATCTCTTGAGTGCTGAGAAGGGTGTGTGGCTGAGGAGATGGGCATGCTCTCTGTGCTGTGTTGTTTTCCTAAGTGGCCAAAGGAGAAACTTCTTCCCATCCTTCTGTCACTGAAGGGAATGAGGAGTGAGCAGGTACAGCAAGGACATCCCTCCCGTCCCCCACCTCAGGAAGGTTCTGGAAGCAGGCGATACAGGATCTTTAGATCCAGTGCAACAGGAAATTTTCTCAGATTGCTTCACGGCATTGTCTGGAGCGTGAGGAGCAGCAGGTGAGAAGAGCACCAGAAGGACCTCATAGATTCTTACTGGAGCAAGGTCCAGGAGCTTCTCTGGGTTATCCATCAGCAAGTACCTCACTGCCTATGCAGACCCCCCAGCTACTGCCTGGAATTGGGGTCTTTGTGGGGCATGTGTCTCTCAGTGGGTGCATGCCTGGCTCCAGGACAGGGGATCTGGCTGGACAAAAATCACGATGACCTCATGTTTCAATGGGCTGCTGCTTAGCAGAGAGGGGTGTCCCATCCTGTGATGATCCACAGAGACTGGGTTCTTGGGTCGTGGTGGGATGTGTGCCTGGCTGTAAGATTATTCACATCAGCTCTGGTGTCTCAGTGGGTGTGTGCATGACTTTAGCCTGTCCATGGCTAGTCATGGAAATGGGATCCCAGGTTTCAGAGAACAAAACCCTCACCTCAAAGGAGCTTCTGGGATGCAAAGGACCA